TCCTAGGAATTTGTTTTGCAGACCAATTTGGGGAAGCTAGGCAGGTCCTTATCCCTGTACCTGGGACTATTTCTATTGTTAGGCAAAACGGGGCTTCCCGGAGCGCAGCAGAACTGAGGAAATGTTGAGGTCCGCAGGCTGATTGAGGACAGAAGGTCGGGATTTCTCAGCTTGTTGCTCTGTTGCAGCTTCCTTATCCCGGCTGCCCTTGGGCTACATTGTGAGCTAGGAGGAGGCTTTTATTCTTTGGTTTAGATGAGCTTGCAGGGGAGCTTGGTCTGGGGGCAGGGAGGGTCAGTCTGGGTCTGATGGGATTATGCAGAGAGGGGAGCTGGGTTTGACCCTGGTCATGTCCAAAAGACAGGGAAGAATATGTTTTGTTTCTTGGATTTATTTTCTCCACTGAATGCATTGGAAGTAATCTTATTAATTCTTTTTAATAAAAAGGGAATTATTTTTAGCCTTGATGTTTGTCCTACACAGATTTTGCATGTATGGCCCTTAGTACACCACTCAGCAGCCTTTTATGCAATGGTTGTTGGGCGTCTCAAGGCTTCCAGAAGTGCAAGAAATATTTTGGTGGGGGGGGAGAATTTCCCTAACAATCTTACTGCAGCTGCAAAATGCTGAGCAGCAGCTCTTTTAAGGTTGACCGTTTCAGGGAGGATGGGCATGAAGAGCATGTACAGGTAGTCCTCATTTAGTGATCACAACTGGGACCAGCAACTCAGTCATTAAGCGAAGTGGTCACTAAGTGAAACCATGACCATGCTTATGATCTTACTTCAGCTTTCCTTTGCTTTACAGACCTGTGAAGGTTGTAAATGTGAGGATTGGTCATAAAGTTACTTTTTCATCACCATTGTAACTGTGAATGGTCACTAAAAGAGACAGTCACTAAATGAGGACTACCTGTAATGGGCCACTGTGAGGAATGCTCTAAGCATTTGATGGATAAAATGACTCAGATCCATTTGGACTCTGCCTGGTCAGTTGCTTTGGAGCTGACTGAGGCTGGGTCTTGCCCTAGTATCTGGGGAAATATAAGTCTCAAGGACAAGGTCCTTTGGGGTGTTAGTGCTGCCAGATGGATGGTCCCTCCTGATTGGTCAAAGCTGCCCAAAAGATTACCATTGGCTGTGTTCAAGCTGTGGTAAATTCATCTTTAAGTGAGAAGGTGGTACCACCTTCCTGAAAAGGTGGCATATCCTCTCCTCAAAAAGCCTTCTTAGGACCCAGCAGTTTTGGATAATTTTTCAACCTGTCTCCAAACTCTCTGTTTTGGGGGAGATGGTAGGGCTGCAACTCTAGAGGGCCCTCAAACAGATTGTCTGGACCCTTTTCTGCAGGCTTTAGATGAGAATGCCTGAGATGGCATTGATCACACTTATAGAAGATCTCTGACAGGACAGGACAGGACAGGACAGGACAGGACAGGACAGGACAGGA